ACTGAGTCGGAGTTTATGTTCCACCACACCCTACATTAAGGATGTCATGCACAATTAAGATGAGATTGAATTAAATTAAATTCTTTTCATTTCCTTCCCACTTCAAGAAGATGTTTAGGGGGGGGCAATAACGTGCTACACTGGTGTTTAACTATTCCCTGCATTGAGCATGGAGTTGGACTTGATGGCCTTATAGATCCCTTTCAACTTCACTCTTCTATAATTCTATGTTTCTATGATTAACATTTTCACCCCTTCCTACAGAACCCAATTTGGAGGAGGGCTGCACTTGATTATATTAAAACAAAAGGAAGGAAATCAAAAGGACTAGGGTCTTAAACTGCACATTAATCCTGAAGTAATGTACCATCTAGTTCAAGCAGACCTCTTACCTGAAGCAGCCATCAGGACAAAGAAGAGAACAGCTGAGAGGATGGCCAAGAGCTTCATGGCTGAAAGGTAGGATTGGATGTCTTACGAGGTGGCAAGACAAGGAGGTGACCCGAAGCTCCTACTATTTATAAGACAGAGAAATGGTGTGGACATCTTGGTAGCTTTCCACATGGCTTTCCTGCTGCATGTGGGCAATCTGAATTATCTTGAAAATTGGCCCTAGATTTAAGAGGAAACAGTGGGTTGAATAAAATGACCAAAGGACTCATAAACAGTCTGTTTGTCTGACCTCTATTCTGATACCAGGATATCCTGTTTAGGAAGATAACACTTGACAGTTAAGGAGGTGTAACCCCCTCCTGCGTTTCCCGCACCTTTCTCTCCTTTGTTACTGGAAAAGGCTTGAAATCAACTGAATGACCTCTCAAGAATTCTGTTTACGAAGGTTTCATGAACAGTGAAGCAACCAAACGTGTTCTCTTTGGCACCGCGGTGCTGTACAAAGAAACATAACGGTTTCAAAACGAGAAGTGAACTTTCATTGCTATCCAGTTTCACTCATTGTTCTCAGCTATCTTTGATGTCAAACCGAACCAATTCCCAATTTGGTGTATGGTTCGTTTCCTGGTGGGACCTTGCATTCACAAGGGCATGAAAGCAGCCGCTCTTCTCCTTCTTTGTCTCCAGAAAAAGTGTGGCTCTTTTCATGGCCTTGTGACTGCAAGGTCCCACCAACTATGAAACAAACACCAAATTGTGAACCAGTTCGGTTTTCCAGTTGGTTCATGATGGTTGTGGGTTGTAGATTATAACTATCCAGAAACCATCACAAACCACCCTTTTGCAGGTTCAGGCCCAACTCTACCATGGAAACTTTAGGTCTAGAAATTTATTTCAATGAAATTTATTTCAATGTTAGCTTTTATGGATTATAATCTGCTCATTTTGCATGTAGACTAGCCCTTTTGTATGAAGAGGTGGTGTGCATTTCGGATCCGTTTTTAGAATCCATCTTGAACATCAGGCATTTTTCATATTACACGTGACAAATGTATTTGTTGGCATTTACCATCATTTTCCTTGGCAAGTTACCATAGTTTGAGCAACTTCTTTCTTAGGAAGTGGAATATATATTGAGTGTTTCCAATCTCTGAGCCATTGTTTTATTTTCCTTATTTGTTTCCAGAATCCTATTAGGATTTTGACTCAGTTTGTCTCCTTGGCTTGCAATAGGTTTATTTGTAACCCATCTGCACTTAGGGATTTATTACTTCCAAGGCTTTTGACGGTGGCTTTCACCTCTGTTTCTAAAACTTCAGATAATTTCTCACATTTTTCCATTTACCATCATTTTCCTTGGCAAGTTACCATAGTTTGAGCAACTTCTTTCTTAGGAAGTGGAATATATATTGAGTGTTTCCAATCTCTGAGCCATTGTTTTATTTTCCTTATTTGTTTCCATAATCCTATTAGGATTTTGACTCAGTTTGTCTCCTTGGCTTGCAATAGGTTTATTTGTAACCCATCTGCACTTAGGGATTTATTACTTCCAAGGCTTTTGACAGTGGCTTTCACCTCTGTTTCTAAAACTTCAGATTCTTTCTCACATTTTTCTTCATCAACCTTGAGCCGGCTACCTGGGATTTGAACCCCAGGTCGTGAGCACAGTTTTAGCTGCTGTACAGCGTTTTAACCACTGCGCCACGAGGCTCCTTCATCAAAGGAATCTCTCATCCTTGCATTTCTCCTGCAACATTCTTCATTTGTATTTCTACCTGGATACATATAAACTTTATTGTTTCTGGCCATAGACCTTTAAAATGTACTGACTACTGTAGCATATAAAATCCGATTAAAACAGGTAATTACCTTAAAACCAATAAAACCCCATCTAAGAATATTGTTATATGTCAGTCCATTGTACTCAGCAGTTATGTGCCTTTATGATCCTTGACAAATTGAAGTATCAGCTTCTTAGCGGCTAGTGCAAATTGTGCTACAGCGTATGTAATGTGCAACTGTGTATCGGCAAGCAATACATATAAACTTTATTGTTTCTGGCCATAGACCTTTAAAATGTACTGACTACTGTAGCATATAAAATCCGATTAAAACATGTAATGACCTTAAAACCAATAAAACCCCATCTAATAATATTGTTATAACATATGTCAGTCCATTGTACTCAGCAGTCATGTGCCCTTATGATCCTTGACGAATTGAAGTATCAGCTTCTTAGCTGCTGGTGCAAATTGTGCTACAGCGTATGTAATGTGCAACTGTGTATCGGCAAGCAATCCTACTCCAATTTCATTTACTTTTCAACCCCTTTTCGCTGCCACCAGAGGATTTATTCCTCACTATGTCAAATATGACTCTTAAATCACAGTTATCCAATATAACAAAGTTTATCTATGTGTTTATAAGTAAATCATATAAAGTACATCATGGATGGTCTTATTTTATTCATTCAATAAACTGTGCTTTGATAACGTTTATATTTGCTTATGTCGAATCATGTTAATCAAGGTATTTATTCATTTCTTATCTTGTTCTCTATCTCTCTGTTCCTCCCTAACACAATACTGGTCCTAACTGCCTAAACTGCTTCCCTCAAACTGATATCCTTAACTGAGGTCCTTAACTGAAGTCCATGACTCTAACTCATATCCCTAACTGATCTTTAACTGTCTTCCATTCCTCTTATATTTCCTTAGTTCCGCCCCTTCTGTTCAACCGTTGGTTGATATATCAAGGTTCCATTGTGATGGACAGGAGTGGTTACTGACCTGTCCGTCACAATGACCCAGGAAAAGAAGCTCCAATGTCAAAGTGGATATCCTGCCTGTTTATTAAAAGATTGAATATGTTCCTTGAATACAGGAGGTTTTTAGAGAAGTGGCTTTTTAAAGTGGGTGTAGATCTGGTAAGGCCTGTGCACTTTCACAATGAGCAAGGAGGAACAGTAGTGGACCTGAAGCTTGAACTGTTAGGTGGGCCCCTTCACAACCAGCAACAAGGTTTGGGTAGACCATGTCATTTTCTTCAATGGGGTTTAGACGCTTATTGGAATAAGACACCCTGAATCATAAGCTTCATAGCAGATCTTCTCCTGGGGATGGATTAGGAGAAAGAGGGTAAACGTTTCCCCCCTCCATCCAGAAAAAAACCTAATTATTTTGTTTGCAGCTTTTTCTGACTATTTATAAATCATGAATAACAACCTACAACGTGCTTGTTGAAACACTTCACAGCAGGGAGTCCGATTGACATGTTTGCAAGGAGAACATGTCAGACAACCTTTCCATTGGATTTGATTGACAGGGTGATGTGCCAAAGGCATGGGACCAAAGAGAGCAGGGGGGTGGGGGTGATGGAGTGGGGCCAAAAAGGTAAATGATGAGGAGGATCCGTGGATATTCTGTTCCCAAGAGTTCTCAAAAAACCTTATACCCAGAGAATAGCGTAATTGGGTCCCAACTTAGCATGGGGGGACACAGTGTCCTAGAAGTCTCCCATTGCGCAGATTATGTCCATTCTAAATGTTCAGATGCAAGCTGAGAAAACGCAGTGCAGTTCTTTCCATTTTCCTTCAGGTCAACGTCCTGCAGTCAGCAGTTCTATTGCTGTGCCCTACACATTGCTGTGCCCTACACTCACTACATATGTCATACGTAGGAAAGACCTCTATTTCCACCAGGGTGTCTCTTTTCTTCCAAAGCTTCATAGATTCCACTACCTGCCAGAAGTCCCATCTCTTTCTCGACTCTCTGTTGGATCACAGAACTTTAGATAAGCCTGTTTAGACCTCGTCCTTTTGGCAAACCCGTTGTGGCACTTCATGGATTAGCTTGAATTTCTTGTTCCTTTTTCATGCCTCTGTGTTTCTCTTGTGGTTTAGCTTCCCCTGGTTGCTTGATTTCCTTTCTCTATTTCCAGGCCTTAGCAAGGCAGAAATGGCTTAGGAAAGAAATAGCTCTTATGTTATGTGGATGACATTTAGAGCCATCCATGTCAGTTGAACCCTTCTGCTTTGGTTACCCAATTTGGAACAATTTATGTACAAGCCTTCCCCCTATACAGCCCTTGCACCTCAAGATGGTGAAGTTGCTGGGAGTTTCTTAGGAGCCCGGAAAATGCTCCAGGGTTTTCCCAAACTTTACCTGAGCAGTCCAAGGTCCTCAGTCCTCTCTCCTTTCAAAGCTTCTGTAAATTTCAGATTAAATCATGGACTTACAACCCACTCCTTTTCCTGGAGGTGCCCACTGCCTCCCAACAATGCGTAGTTGTCACATTTGTAAAGGAAAACGGAAGTAAAAGAAAATAAGGAGAGCTCTGTTATATCAGGCTACAGGTCTGTCTAGTCAGTGCTGAGCATCTAGAATTGAGAGACATTTAATTTTTCTATATACCCTTGAATTAGTCATATGTGATAATCTAATTGTAATTGACATGTAAACCATGTGAGCTAATGATCACTGAGTCATCTTATGGCAATGAATGTTCACCTCTATGCTTCCTCTCCAAACCCCTGGATAGCTCAGTGGCTTCAGCTGAGAGTTTGATTCCCTGACTATTTATCCCAAAACACAGAAGCACACTTCACAAATGCAGATGAATCTTTAATTGATAAGGATAGAAAAAGAATCGGATTCAGAGAGACTCTGTTGAGAGCTCAAATGAGCGTTGATTCTAGGAGTGAGCATGGCGATACAGCAGAAGGACCACCCTCAGTGCCTCTGAGAAAGCGAATGTGAATAATCAGCAACCTACAAGAAGAGAAAAACACTTTCAGAGTCAGTAATTGTATTGTATTATATAAATAATCAGTACTTATGAAGTGAGATGTATGTACCACATATGGAAACATTTCCATCTGTGCTCATTCCAGAACCTGGGGCATTCATATAAATTGGGAAAGTAAATCTAGGAGCTGTCAGCTTATATACACACACTGTGTCCATGAGATAATTTAGAAGTTGTAGATATTGAAAGTAACATTTCCAGCCTTTGGCAAACTGGCACCAACTGTCTGGAGTTTCAGGGTGGGGATACAACACACCAGACCTAAGGCTTCATGCAGGCAAAGCACGTGTTTCACTCCGCAGAGTGCAACAGAGGTCATTTCATGAGGAACATAACTTAAAGAGTGGGACCTTCCTTCTACATTCATATTGTTAACCTAAACCAACTCTTGTGCCCCTTGTAAAAAGCTCACATACTAGTTTAAATAAGCAGACATGGAAGGAAAACATATCTGATCCTTTGTCTACATGGCTTTTGAACAAGAAAATACTTTTCCTCATAAAATCGTAAGCAGAACTTGAAAGATACCCCAAACGTAGAGCCCCCTGGAACCTTGTTATTATGTGCCATAAAGTCACATCTGACTGTGAATCAGAGACCACCAAAAAGTGCTGCCATTAACAGCTCAGCTCAGTTCCTGGTTTCATTTACTGGATCTGTCATGGTTTAGGTTATTGAAGCTAGTTTGCAGAAGACAAGCGCTACATGGATGCGCCTATAGGGATATTCGTTAAGGAAGCTACCTTCCTGGAAAGAACATTTCCAAGTAGATCTTACTGGTCATTTGCAGCAAGGACGTCTAAGTGAGCCACAGTTCCCAATTTGCCTTCTTCCTCGTGGACAATCAATAAAGTAACAGTAGCCTCTAGCAGCATGACATCCAGAGCTTGATGATGGCCCACCATCAACTGCTAGAAGAAAAGAGAGAGCAACATGGTCATTCCATGTTCAAGAGCCACCGTCTTGCTTCCAGAGCCACCATCATGACTTGCTCTGATACTGAACTCAAGTGGAAAGCTCTGGATCAAGCCAAATCTAAGACGGAAATTGAGACATCATGTATGAGAGTCATCTTCAGATCTTGCACGGGAGGGGCAACACACCGGTTGGTTGCTTTTCCAGAGGGGAGGACACGAACCCATCACTCAAATCCTATTGTAGTTATGCAAACAGCATTGTTGCTCTAAGTTTAGAAATCATTGGCAGCATTCTCTTGTTTCACGCTCAATGTCTAGGAATATTCCTTAACTTACAGCAATTCTCATCCCAAAGTTACACTTTGTGTAAGTGTGTAATAGGATTTCTGCCAAGGAATTCAAATGGCAAGAAAGGAGGTCTTGGAGAAGAATAGGAAGCCCTTCCTGCTAATAAGAGCTTTTCTTCAGCTAAATGGCTTATCTTGGAAACTGATGGAACGTTTGTGAGCAGAGGATAGATGCACATCTCTCAGGGTGCCTCAGGTCTTGGTTCCTCCTTTGGCAGAAGGTTAATTTAGGGGTTTTCTAGGATTCCTTCCAACTCTAACGTTCTATGATGCTGTGAAAACTGAGTCCATGGAGAAAGAGAGGATGACTTAGGGGGAATTCAAGAGATTAAAAAGGACAGACATCCATAGGGAGTACAAAGGTCAGTCCCTGCAAGAAGAGATGACTCCACCGAATTAGGGCCTCCCTAACAAGGAACTGGAAGTCCACCTGACCACCCTGCTCATTCTAAGGGATGCGAAAAGCCAAAAATGCCTACTGCGTC